CCTTGAAATTGACCTTTGACCTACCTTACGATGAACTTAACTTCGATTGTACCATTTTAAGTTATATATATTTTTTGCGTATTTTGAAAATTCTTGTTGATTGCATTTTTATAGCTTGTCAAGCATAAGACTGGTGGCTGTGTCCCTTATTTTGTGTATGTGGGGGTCTATACGAATGCGCTTGCTCCAGCTGGTGGTACAATATTCGGAGGCGGTATCGCCTCTCTGATCCTCTAGTTAAAAATTATGATTATTTTTTGTTTACTTTTTTGATTAACCAGTATTTGTCATAAACATTATTGTTTAGTTATGGCTGGGAGAGAAGCTGGGTTATGGAACAGAGCTGGAGCAGCTGCGTGCCCTGTTTGAGAAGGTGGGAGACATGGTGCCTCCAGACCCTAACTCCACTGTAAAGGTAGAAGAAATAGCGTGTTTTTTTTTGTTTTGAAGGTTTTATAAGTATGTACTTCCAGACTTATGACTAACATCTATAGGTAACTGCACTGTATATACCCGGTAGGTTCTATATTTCTTTGTACATTTTCCAGCATTCTTTGTTGAGTAGCTGTGATGTCCTATATATCCAGATTAAGTTGTGAAAATATTCTAGAGTCAATTTAGCATTGAGTTACCTTAGGTCATTAATAAAGGGTGAAATGTCAATGCCATTAATAGCATTAAATTTAAAGTGAAATCACACATTTTTCATTTCTTCTTTAAGTTTCAAAACTTTCAACACAATAGAGACAATACCTTAGTAAAACCTTAATTCACCACATACTGAAATCAACCACATCATAGGAATTCTTGAATTACATAAGAGCAGACCTTTTTCTCGATATTAACAAAAATTGCCCAATAGGTGAAAATCAATTAAATTAGCATATTTTTTATTATTATCTGGAGTCTCAATTGTTTTTGATCAGTGTTTGTTTTCATAACTACCAGGTTGTAAATCTTTCAGGTTACAAAAACAAAGTTTAATGGAGTAAATGTTCGAGTATATGATCCCAATAAAAGTAAAGGAAAAAGACCTGCTCTCATATATTTACATGGAGGTGGTTGGACAATGGGAAGTTCTGGTAAGTGAGTGCCATTTTGCATTGATTTTAGTTTTTTCAATTCTACCCAACTTTTCTTTGGATAATTTGGAATAGAAACATTAGCCTGTTGTTTTTCCAGAATTAAGGGACCAAGTCATAAGTTTTGTTTTGGAAAGGGGGGTCAGGGCCTTGGTCTCTGCTTCTGTCTCTTGTTTCTGTCTATGCTGTAAGCATATATTAAAAAATGTTGATGTAAATCAAAGTTTTTATTTTCTTAGCTGTATATGACAGCATCACAAGAAGCATTGCAGAAGAACTGGGGATGGTAGTGGTCTCTGTCGAGTAAGTACCATAAGCTGGAGATTATCTCTTCTTTTAGGGCTCATTCCCAATGAAACTGTTGCTCTGTGTACATCGATCCAACTCCACAGGGGCTCTCGCTGAATGCAATAAACTGATATTGTCTGGCATGCTCCTTCGCAAAGCAACATGAACAACGTCATGGACCACAGTTTGTGAATATACCCAAGTACATGTACTTTAAATTATGAGGGGCTTGCCAGACAATTTAGCTGATTATACGTCGACTGCGGTGTAGCGAGAATCCGGGCTGAGACAGATCAATCCTGCTGGACTGATAACTTTTTATCTGAACACAGCCTAATGGCCTGAATTTTTGCTAATAGGGAAGAAACAGTGAACAAGTACAGTATAGTCATTGGGAGAAGACAATCATTTGCCTTATTGATAGATTATGGATTATTTTGGTTGAATGTTTCCTTTTGTAGTTATCGGTTGGCCCCAGAACACAAATACCCAGCTGGTTTGGAGGACAGTATGGCAGTGACTGTGTATCTGCTGGAGAATTCTGTTAAGTATAATGTGGACCCCAACAGAGTGGCTGTGGGAGGTAAGGGACTGTTCCCTTATTCTTATCATATACTAGCTGGATGGATCTAACTCCCCGGGGATTTTCGCTAAATTGCATGTAGTTTTAGCAGCTTAAATGTCTGGCTCATCCTCTCATAACTTAAAGTACATGTACTCATGCTGCAGTACTTAAAATTAATTCGGGAAAACATTGTGCTCCATGATGTTGTCCATGTCGCTTGCGAGGAGGCGTACCAGAAAATTAAGCTGATCACATTCACTACACCTGAGCTAGTATATCTTCGCAGAGATAGATCGATCCTGCTAGTACAATAAAGTTATGAGAACACAGTCTTAAAGCGTAACAAAATGGGTAGCTAATAAATCATTGTATTCTTTTGTCATAGCACAAGACCTTTTTATTTCTTTATTTATTTAGCTTTCAGAGAAAGTTGTATATTACATGTATAAGGACCATATGAAAAGCAAACAATCCTGAGATTTATTGGTGTCAGTTTCTTTTTATTTCAATGCAAATTGAATGTTTGAAATTCAGCTATTAGAAGACAATAACTAAATGAGACAAATTTTTTTTAAAGAAATAAAATGATATTGTCTGATAAGAATATGATATTGACACATTACAGGTGACAGTGCCGGTGGTAACTTAGCAGCAGCAGTTGCACTGAAACTCAGAGACCAGAATGTGACGCCAGTTCTAAAACAACAACTCCTTATCTACCCTGCTCTCCAGGCCATAGACAATCAGCTCCCCTCAGCGCAGCAGAACAGCAAACTCGGCATTATTTTAAAGACTGAACTCATGGTGAAATTTTGGTTGTCCTACTCCTTAGGGGTTGCAAATGCAGATGTTAACCAATTGAACCTGCTGCTCAACAACCAGCACCTTTCAGGGCAGGCTCTAAGGAGAGGAAGAGAGTTTGTGCATCCTTCATTACTGGAGGAGAAGTATATTCCAAAGGACTATAAACCATGCAAAAACCAAGGCTTGTCAAAGCCACCTATTTCTGCAGAATTTGAACGTGTAGTGATGGATCCATATTTCAGTCCGGTCATGGCTGAGACTCTGCAGGGGGTCCCTGAGGCGTGCCTCATCACTGCAGAATATGACATCTTGAGGGACGATGGTTTGTTGTTCAAAAGGCGTTTAGAGGAGGCGAAGGTCAAGGTTACACACCACCATTACAAGATATTCCACGGGATTTTCATTGAACCACACAGTCACATGAAAATGTTTGCACAAGTTCACAGAGATGTTTTGGTTTGTTTGAAACATGTGTAATAAATTTAAAAAATGCTTTACAACATGTTTAAGCTAAGGTTACAGTAATAAATCTTAAACTTTCAGATCAGAAATTGTGATTGGGGGAGGGAAAACTTCAAAAGGATAAAAAGAATATTTATCCAATAGTTGAGTCATTCAAATACTAGCTAGCAATTGCACCTTCTTCTGTATTTAAAATTACAATGCAAACATTTGTTCTGATTATGTGATGACATATTAATTTTCAAAAGGCTAAGGTGCAGTACATATAATAGTTGGCTTTGCATAAAACTGGGCCCACTTGGCCTGGAAAATTTACTGAGTTACACAAACACTTGAGTAAATTGATATTCATGTACCAACTAATATCAAGGAAAGAAATTTGTTCCAAGATATTTGTTCGAGAATAACAGTGATTAGAAAGAACAGATGATGTGTTAATATGAAGAGTCCACTGTAGTTAAATCTTTCATTGTTTAAATTGTTAAAGTTAACTGTTATGTTATCACTGTTATTATCTTTTTTACAAGCTTTAATCATTGTATCTTTTGTATTTTATAATTTATACACTTTTTACATGAACATTTTAAAGTAAATATTATGTATTCAGATTGATAATGCACTGGCTTTGAAATGTAATAATACGAAACTATCTCTCAGTAGTGACTAAAAGATCATTCACACAGATATTTAGATCGATCTATCCCCCTGGGGAGTCTCACTAAATTGCTGTCAACTTGGCCTGCTTAAATGTCTGTCAAGCCTAGTAAAGCTGTTAGGGGGTAATTATCTTTACCCTAGCTGATTCAGAAGGCGTGACAAACATTTAAGCCTCTTGAGCTGACAGCAATTTAGCGTGAACCCCCAGGGAGTTAGGTCGATCCAGATGGATTGATCTAAATCTGTGGGAATGCAGTTTAAGACTGTAGTCAAATTCAAAAATAGTACCAGCTGGATCAATCCAACTCTGCAGGAATTCTCACGATTCAATGTATTCAACTTAATTGTCTGACACACCTCCTTGAGTAGCTAGTTAATTAGTTAATTACCCCCTTTCAACCCGAGGAGGCATGTCAGACACTTAAACCAATTACAGTGATTGCACTTAGAAAGAATCTCCCCCAGAGTTGGATCAATCAAGCTAGTACAATGAGTTCATCTGAATGCTCCCTAAAAGAACTTGCAGGCAATCCAAAACAGAGTGAGTCACTCAGGGACAAACAGACAAAGAGACTGCCACTGGTGTGCCATATTTTGATAATTGTATAATGTGTTAACAATATTAATTGTTTGTCTAATTTTGAGAGCAATCTGTGTTGCATAATCAAGCATTATAGTGAGGTATAAATGAATTTGTGATATGAGGCGTTAGTTTTATTTCATGTGATATTTGGAATATTGTGGAAAATGGAAGATAAGACTAGTTGATGCACAAGCTGTGATAATTTCAAAAGCACTGAATATTTTATTATTTTCCATTCATGCTGAGTAGATAATCATATTAAAGTATTATTGACTTTGACTGAGATCAGAATTTTTTTTTGAAAGCTATATTGACAAAGGGAAAGCCATCTTGTTTTGCAGACTAAAAGCAAATTGTATATTTTTATATATTTATTCATTATAAAATAATTATAATTGGAATTGTTTGAAATGGAATTGTTTACAAATTGCAGCCAGAAAAAGAGACAATCAGAAAAAAACAAATGGTTTCTACAAGCATGGTATTGCCATTGACTTTTAAATGATCCTTTATAATAATGAATTAAATTAGCCTTTATAATAATAAATGAAAGATACTCAATTCAATAAAAAAACATGATGGATAAATTTTTCAGATCTTGTCATTTTTGTGCCCATGCTGCAAAACTGAAAATTAGTTTTCAAGCATTTAAGTTAACTCCAAACAACCAATAAAACCAATAAAACGCCCTGATCTTAGTGCTGTGAACTCGTACGATTTTGACCAAATTTCAACAAGTTTCATTTCAGTTGACGGTAATAAGAACCTATTTAGGATATAATGACATTTGATATATAATCCAGGGGCGGATTCAGAGCTATTTACTGACTGTCTTCCAAATTATCTTTGTTGATTCATCCTCCAATTTTGACCGTCTTCCAACAGAAAAATTTAGATATCCGCCAATGTAAACTTGAAAATCTGACCGTCTTCCAGAAGACCCAGAAGACGGCCTAAATCCGCCCCAGTAATCAGTTCAGTTAACTTCCATGTGTGTTCTACTTATTTTGTTTTCTTAACACTATAGATGTAAAATTTCAATCTTTTAAATTGGTTTTCATATATCTGAAAGAATCAATCATAACAGCAGAACAACGTGTTCCTCTTCTTTACTAAAACGCGCACGTCCAAGTTGGTTAATTTTTTTCTTTTCTCTTTTATTCCTTTTAATTTGCATTAATCAATTTCTTAAAATTTCAATAATTAGATTTTATATATAAAAAAATGTTTCTTAGCAGCGCTGAAACCTCTGTGTAATGCGATTTTGAGAAAATAATTCTTCATTTTGTTACTTTCTTCTCCTTACATCGTACAGGTGAAGGGGCGCATGTAGCTACCGTTACCAGTAAGCCATATGTTGTTCATCCATAACACAATATAGAAAAATTATATTAAAAGTGTTTTTAAAAGGGGATTTGTGCAATATATTGCCGACCATAGTAAGAATGTCCATAAAGGAAAGAGTTCGTGTTTTCAATGTTTCTTATTTGAACAATATATTTCAAATAGTTATATTAAATTTTATTAAAGAAATTGTGCCGAAAACCTTGGACCCACTGCAATTCGCTTATCAATCTAACAGAAATGTTGAAGATGCAATTAATCTGTGCCTACACACTGTACTACAACACTTAGATAAGAAAAACTCTTATGCAAGGATTTTATTTATTGACTACAGTTCAGCTTTTAATACAATTGTGCCAAAAAAACTATATCTGAAACTTTTAAACCATCTTAAGCTACCTGTTTTTATTTGTGACTGGATTTTAGACTTTCTTTTAGATAGAAGACAATCTGTTAAAGTCGGCTCTTTTAGCTCAAAAATAACAGTCTTAAATACCGGTGCACCACAGGGATGCGTCCTTTCACATTGCCTTTACTCCCTTTTTACCTATGATTGCACTAGTGTAAGCGATGGGACTTTTCTCATGAAATTTGCGGATGATACTACGCTTGTGGGGCTAGTTACCGATAATGACGAGAGTACATATAGAGAATCTGTTGAGTCGGTGTTAAGCTGGTGCGAGAGGAAAGATCTTATCTTGAACGTAGCTAAAACCAAAGAAATGATAGTGGATTTTAGAAGGAATCAGAATGTAAAGGTACCACTCACCATATTATTGGTAATGTTGAAGTTAGCAGGGTAGAGGAATTTAAACTACTTGGTATACACCTTAACAGTAAATTGAATTGGAAAGATAACACCGCAAAGAGTGTAAAGATTCGAAGGCACGGCAAAGACTGTATTTTTTAAGATCATTGAGAACTTTTACTGATAGCGTGCCTATTTTAGTCAATTTTACAGGTGTGTAATTGAAAGCATTCTAGCGTACGGAATTATAAAATGGTATAGCGGAACAGCTGGGGAGGAAAGGAAGAAATTAACAAACGTTGTAAAAACTGCAAGCAGGATTATCGGGCAGGATCTCCCCAAGCTGGATGATAATTTTAAAGACAGGATGGAGAAAAGAATTGTCAACACCATGAAAGACTCTTTCCATCCTGCATCATCTCTTTTTACGTTTTTACCAAGCAACAGTAGACTTTTAACTTTTGGCTACATCTTTATACATCCCCGCACCGATACTCCCGCACCGATACTTCGCATATCGTTATTCATCCACATCAAAACTCCCCCACAGCATAGATTCCTTTGGCTTTGGTTTCAGTTGCAATACCCAAAACTTGTTTTTTTCAGTTAAAACCCTTTTTGTAATGTGATTTTTTTTCAAAAGTGCACCACCGTCTTGAGACCCAAAAGTGACACACTTTATTAGAAATATTGTGGAAATAAAGGAAATACTAAAATTGGTTTGCTTTCAAGTTTGTAAAATAGTCGATCTTTCACGTCAGGCATTGTGTGCAGCTCGGCTTTGTGATTTTTGAGAAATGTCTGAAAACTTCACTTCGTTTTTCAACACATGGTAATTAGGCCTACGTATGGTATACCGATTACACGCCCTTTTATTTATTTATCTACACTGTATCTGTCTATCTAAATTTGCTTTAACCAAAGATAACGCACCATAATCTTTCGTCAATCTTAATCTGTTGAATTATTAAGAAATAAAAAAGCAGAGTTTAATCGTTAAATTGTCGCCTTTGTCTTCGTGAAAATGTGACTTTTTAAAAATTTACTCATTAGGCGATTCTAGGAACCATGGGAGTTTTATTACGGTAATATCAGTTATCGTTATAATTACCAGGGTACGGTAAATATAATTGTTTTTTCCTTTATATTTTATATGAAATAAAAATCTAGTACGATAAAAATACAGTACTGCTTAAATGTAACATCGTAAATTCTTAAAAACAGGTGGAATAGATAAACCCAATGGTGTGTATTGCCAGCATACGACGGGATCATAATGATGGGTTTTGATATTTGCTCTCCCAATTACTTGAATTACAGTTGACGATCTTATCTCATATGAATATTTTACAAAACAAAATTCTCGTTTTTGCATATCCTGTTAGGCTACTTTATAATTAACTTAGGTCCGAATTGAGGCATAAAAAAAGAATTTTTGAATTAAACTTCAAATAAAAGATCTGATCTCAATATTTCCTTTGAATGTTAGACTGTGGCGGACACTTTTTTCCCCCAAGGAAAATTGGATCTTGATAACTTTCAAATGTTATTGGGGTTTTGACGAAGATTATTATTTGGCCAACTTTTTCTCAAACGAACCTGTACACAAACTTCATTATTTTCGGGAAAATAAAACATTTTGCTTTTCAAGTTTCTCTTTCTATTTACACTTGAAATCTCGAATTATTGACGGGATTTACTATTTTGAAACGAGAACAGATGCATATATATATAGGTCACTGGATATAGGTCAAGTCATGTGAACTTGCGGAATTTAACCCTGTAAGCACTATGTACCGGTAAATTTTGATAGCAATGATTAAAATTGGTCTTTTAACTATGTCAAAAATATTTTGTAGCCTCTCTATTGTAAGGAGCAAACGTCCGTGGTTGCTTTTGGAATGTAATACATGTACAACCAAGTTACGCCAAAATATGAAGCCAGGTACCCGAAGTTGTAAGTGTGTTGGATACAGGAAGCATATTCAACTCCTATAATCAGATGTGTTAATAATGTAGGTCTGAAATGAGGTGCTGCGGAGCACGCTGCTTACTTCTTGTTGCCGTGGCAGTGGCAGGCTTGGCTTATATAGCCTATGTCCCAGTGCCTGATGACTTTGATAATCCCTGGGAGATAAGGCCCATCATATGGTCTACAAAACTAGGACCTTATTTGGTAAGAATCTTGTGAAATTTTGTTGATCACTTATCAGATTTATGGCTTTTGGGAAGGTTTATGATTACTGAAAATATATAATGCAATTATTATTTGAATAGAAATATGTAATATCATTCACCATATAATAATAAAAAATTATGGGTCATTCAAGTAAAGTTGCATTAATGTGAAAAGAGTATTATTATTTAAATTGGTAAAAAAAAGCATGTTTTCAACAATGAGGCATGATGTTTAGACCCTTCCTCATAAGCCTTTAGAAAATATTAACTTATTTCCAACAATACACAAAATTAAGGCAATGAAAAATTTGCATGTACAGTACGCACCATATTGTGATTTATATTGATATACTTCTTTCCCCGATAAAACACTTCTTTAGCCAGTATGAATCATTAATAATATTTAGTTTTGGCTGAAAAGAAGCTGGTTTAATTATAATAAACATTAATATAAAGTATAACTATATAACTAACAAAGTTAAATATATGGTCATAAGAATATTGATTTAATAAAAAATGATGATAATTATTGTTGCCTTTTTTCAATTGATTAACCAGTATGTGTTATTAACATTTTTGTTAACATGTTTAGTTTTGGCTGGGAGAGAAGCTGGGATATGGAACAGAGCTGGAGCAGCTACGTGCCCTGTTTGAGAAGATGGGAGACATGGTGCCTCCAGACCCTAACTCCTCAGTTAAGGTAGAAGAAATAGAGTGTTTATGAAATAACTCAACTTTGAAGGTTTCATCTATACTGTACTTAGTTCATATAGCTGATATATACATGTAGGTCCTATATTTCTTCATACATTTTCTGGCTTATTCATTGCTGTGTTTCTGTGACGACCACCCCAGATAAAGTTGTGAAAATGTTGTGGAATCAATTTAGCATTAATTAGTTACCTCATTAATAAAGGGTTTATTGTCAGTGCCATATATAGCAGTGAATTGAAATAGAAGTTGCGCATTATCATACTGTAGGCTTCTCTGCAATAAGTTTCAGCACCCCTAAACATCTCATCAGAGTTGTTTAGAGGTGTTATATACCTTGGTTGCTACAGCAAGATCTGATTCATTGTTCCAGCCATTAATATGGTACTTCTTGGCACCGGAATATGTACATGTACAACATAATCAATGACACAAACCAGGATGCAAAATATCACTCGCCTCACAATAAGAACAACTGTACCAAAGAAAATTGTGAATTTAAAGCAGACTTTTTGTTTTAAACCAAAATTGTCAAGTTGGGGAAATCAATAAAATTGATGATTGTAATTACTGTGAGTTTTGTTTTATATTATAACTGATTATTGTAGTAGTCCTCAATGACATACTTTCCATGATACTACCAAGTTGTAAATCTTACAGGTTACAAAAACACAGTTTAATGGAGTAAATGTTCGAGTATATGATCCCATTAAAATTAAAGGAAAAAGACCTGCTCTCATATATTTACATGGAGGTGGCTGGACAATAGGAAGTTCTGGTAAGTGAGTGCCATTTTGCATTGATTTTTTTTTCTTTTTTTGATAATTTGGAGTAGAAATGCAAGCTTTTATACAGGACATTGATTTAATTTTTCGATTGACCAGGCCCCCTTCCTTACATACGCAAAAACTCAAAACTCCACTGTGACTCCTTTCTGATGCAAAATACAAGTTATATGGTTGAGAACATACAGTGCTTCATTCATTCATTCATTCTCTCTCTCTCTCTCTCTCTCTCTCTCTCTCTCTCTCTCTCTCTCTCTAATGGGCATATCTGTGTGTGTGTCGAGATCTATATCTGTCTATACTGTAAACTTTTTTAGAATATATGTTACTGTTTTTAAGTTTACCTATAAATATTATCATTGTTTTTATTTGAGTGGAGTTATTTTGATTTTTCAGCTGTATATGACAGCACCACAAGAAGTATTGCAGAAGAAGTGGGGATGGTAGTGGTCTCTGTTGAGTAAGTGACTTAACATAATTTTGTCTTTTACTATCAAAACTTTTAAACTGCTGCATTATGCAGTTCATTTTCACATACGGCCATCGCCTTTTACAACAGAAAACCAAACCTTGTCTAAATTTCCATAGATTCATGTAGGAGTTGGGTCTAGACATTCATTATGAGAATCTGGCATCCATTTGCCTTGATGATATATTTGTTGAATGTTTCCTTGTAGTTATCGGTTAGCCCCAGAACACAAATACCCAGCTGGTTTGGAGGACAGTGTGGCAGTGACTGTGTATCTGCTGGAGAATTCTGCTAAGTATAATGTGGATCCCAACAGAGTGGTTGTGGGAGGTAAGGGACTGTTCACATGAAAAATCTATTTTCTAAAAAACTATTTTCTATTCGCGGTATCTTGTGATCACTCCGAGCGCAGCCGAGAATTAATCACAGCTTTGGAAGTAACTGGCTCGCACTGCCAGTAATCACGCCACGGGGTATTCAGGGCACAGACCGTGATCACAAGATACCTCGAATAGAAAATAGATTTTTAAAAAAATAGACTTGTCATGTGAACGGGGCCTAAGTGTGTAAACTATGAAATTAGTGTATTCTTTTGTCATAGGACAGAAAATGTTTTTTCTTTCAGTAAAAGATATATTACAACTAACAAAAAGTGAAAAAAATCCTTTGTTTTAATGCAAACTGAATGAATGAATATCTGCAAGTAAAAAGCAATAACTAAACAAGCCAGATTTAGGTTATAGAATGTAATGGTAACCAAATGATAAGCAGTAATATACTATAAACTGATCATTCTTGGTAAGAATACTATAATTACAAGTTGTCTAAGAAATTGTTTTGAAAGCAACAGATAACAAAAGTGAAGAATTTTCTGAAATGTTACAGGTGACAGTGCCGGTGGTAACTTGGCAGCTGCAGTTGCACTAAAACTCCGAGACCAGAAGGTGACGCCATTTCTAAAACTACAACTCCTCATCTACCCTGCTCTCCAAGCCATAGACAACCAGCTTCCCTCAGTGCAGCAAAACAATAAACTGGGCATCAATTTAAAGTCTGAACTCATGGTGAAATTTTGGTTGTCCTACTCCTTAGGGATTGCAAAAGCAGATCTTAATCTATTGAACCTGATGCTCAACAATCAGCACCTTTCTGAGCAGGCTTTTAAGAGAGGAAAAGAGTTTGTGCATCCCTCATATCTTGAGGAGAAGTACATTCCAAAGGACTATAAACCATACAAAAACCAGGGATTGTCTAAGCCGCCTGTTTCAACAGAATTTGAACGTGTTGTGGTGGATCCGTATTTCAGTCCCATTATGGCTGAGACTCTGCAGGGGGTCCCTGAGGCCTGCCTCATCACCGCAGAATATGACATCTTGAGGGACGATGGTTTGCTGTTCAAAAGACGCCTGGAGGAAGCAAAGGTCAAGGTCACACACCACCATTACAAGACATTCCATGGGATTTACGATGGACAGCATGGACACATAAAAATGTTTCCACAAGTTCACAGGGGTGTTTTGGATTGTTTGAAAAATGTGTAATAGAGGAAAATGCTTTGAGTAAGTATGTTTTATGGTTATTGTTATCAGTCTGAAACTCTGAAGTGGCAAAAACCACTGGAGGAGAGGGAGCTTCATAATGTTAAAGAACAAAATTTATCCTTAGGCTACTAGTATATCTGTCTTATTCAAATAGTTGCACCTTCGTTTAATTAATTATGATGTAAATGTGAATACATGAAAGCCTATTCACTTACAAAACACCAGTGTACATTAGATATTCTAGTAATAGACTCTGCATATGACACTTTGGGACTGGAAAATTGTTTGAGATACCCAAAAGATTTAAGTTAGGTGATGTTCATAAACCAGCTGATGCTGAAAAAAAAATTGACCCAGCAGATTTGTTTGAGAGAAACAAGTGATAGGAGTTGTAAGATGAGTTATGCAGATTTTTTTTAATTGGTAAAGGTAACTGTTATGCTAACACTGTAGTCATAATTTTTTTAACATGTTTTTCATTGAACTTTTTTGTATCGTATAATTTATAAGCATTTTGGATGAACATTTCATGTTCCATAAAGTTTTATATGCATCTGTGATGGTAATGCAATGACTTTGAGGCATAATAGTGCAAAAATATCTCTTGAGTAACGAGAAAAAGAAATCTCAAGCATTCCAAAACAGAGAGACAGTCACCTAGGACAGACTAACAGACAGATTGTGACTGGTGTGCCATATGTATAGATAAATGTATAACATTTTAGCAATATTAAGAATGTTAAGGACAATTAATGTTACTTTTTTAATAGACTTAACAGCCAGGCGTATATTGAAGCACTGTATAACATACCTTGGGATTTTCCCTTCAAAATGAATTTTCCTGGAGTAAAAAGCAATTTTCTCCTGCTCCCGAATTATTGCTTGACCCTTGGAGAGAATCTCAAAATAATAATATTGGGAGGAAAATTCCATGGAGTCAATGAATTTTTAATATAACACAATGGTTTTATTTTTTACATGATTATTTTAAATGGAATATTAACCATTTATATGCACAAGCAGTGATAACTTCGACTGCACTGGATATTTTATTACTTCCTATCCATATTCAATTTATTAATAAGTCGATAGTCATGTTATACACTTGTTGACTTTGGCTGAGGTCAGTATGTTTTGCAGACCTCAGAGTAGTGATATAAACAAAGGGCAGCCTTTTTGCTTTTCAGACTAAAATCAAATTGTAAATTCTTATATAATAAGTATCATAAAATAATAACTGTTCTTGAATGAAAGTTTTATTTACGAATTGCAACCAGAAATAGATACAATTAGATTCAGAAATTGTATAAATGAACTGTGACTGTTCTACAAGTGTCACATTAATATCACTATTGACATTTTAATATGCCTTTTGTAACAATAAATATTATGTATTTAATTCAATAAATATGACAAACAAAATTGGTTAAAATCTTGCCTTTTTTTCTCTCCGTGTGGCACCACTGAAAGTGATTATTCAAACACTTAAGATTAAAGTGGTTTACTTTCAAAAATGCCTAACGAAAAAATGGAATATTTAAAAGTTAGTTATATTATTGTATGAATTTGACTATAGTATTAAATATTGCCAAAGACCCAAGTTTGAAAGAAGTGTGAGTGAGAAAAATTTTGTTCTCAAACCGGTCGCAAGCACTATTACAAAGTCAGTTATTTGCCCATATTTATTTATTTATTTATTTATTTATTTATTTATTCATTTATTTTTCGGGTTTTTTAACATTAAGGTCTCCACAAGTGTGAACTTTAAAATATATTTTCCAGATGACGGAAACTGAATTTGACGGTGTTAAAGTTAGGTTGTACGAACCTATGTCGAGGGCGGAGAAGCCAACTGGTGCCTTTGTATTCTACCACGGTGGAGGATGGTCCGTCGGGAGCGCAAGTATGTAGTAGTTTGACAAGAAATACCCCTTTTCCATTCTTTATTTAGGAAAATTTAAAAATGAAAGAGATAACCCTTGATCGTCTGTTCAGAAACTCGGGCTATTTTGGTAACAATGAATGATAGTACAAATGTCAGTTTCAAGAGCCCTTTGAAACTTTAATGAACGGAGAAGAGACAGAAGGATCACAAGAACATGCATGTACATTTATCCGTAAATGAAGAGGTATTTACGCAAACTGAGATGGAAGTAGCCATGCTTTTTCAAAATCGACCCATTTTTTCCACTGGCGGTTGAAAAGCGATTAGTAACGCAAAGAAATAAAGAAAAAAGCGCAGCGACTTCCATGTATACGTTGTGCGAGATGCAGATGACGAAGACGATCTCTTTACATCATTCTGCAAGTGGTAGCTTATGTTTCTGCTCACTTGTAATGAATTCTGAAAATATTGAGATTCTATAAATTCAGTTTGCCTGAGAAGTAAAACGTCTTTTCTTTGCAGGGGCATATGATTATCATACCCGGTCGATTGCAGAAAAATTGAATATAGTAGTGGTGTCTGTGGAGTAAGTTTCTCTCTCTCTCCACCACCCCCTCTCTCTTTTTCTCTTTCTCTGTATCTGTCTCTCACACACGCACGCACTCACACGCAAGCACACACGATGCTACAAAATTAAAACCCACTGCAATGAATTAGTCGACCCCTTGCATGTATGCATTTGTTATTAGCGAGAAACCACAAGCGTACCGTTATTAACAAATACAACTACTTTTACAACCTTCTTTTTTCAATAGTAAACTTGCCGCCTGAATTTTTTTCAGTTTCCGCCTAGCCCCAGAGCACAAGTTTCCTGCTGCCTTAGATGACTGCACTGCCGCCACGTTACACTTGCTGAGAAATGCTGCGCAGTACAACGTCGATCCCAACAGAGTGGCTATAGGAGGTAAGTAGGTTGTCTCTTCAGGCCTTTTCCAGGTTTTTTTTAACCAACAGTGTCACAAATACTTAATGGGAGGGACTGCCAGGCCTCGTGTTTGAAAAACGGCCATTCAAGCAGAGAGACCCATTTCCTGATCATGTTCTGTTAAATAACATGCAGGCCTACTTTCTACCCTAGGCCAGCTAGGTGGTGACGTTATTCCTGTGCAAAAATTCTCGCTGTACAGAACAAAAACGTTCACATATTTAGCCAGAAAATATTTGTGAATATCTAGTGAAAAAATTCCCTGTTGTCGCCTTGTTAGAGGGTAAATAACAGTTTATGTTTAAGGCTAGCGCCGTGGTTCGTTACGTTTCAGGAGACAGTGCCGGCGGAAACCTTGCCGCGACCGTATCTCTCAAGCTCCGCGACATGAAGGCGAGTCTGCGACCAGTTCTTCAGCTCCTGATCTACCCTAACGTCCAGTCACTGGACCTCTGGTCGCCGTCTTCCCAGCAAAATGAAAAGCAGAATCTTTATCTCGGGAGAAAATGGATGGCGATCTTCAAAATGGCATACGCGCTAGGTCGCGATGGCAATGATGCTATCAGGGAAATGCTTTTCCAAAACCAACACTTATCAGCCAAAACATTTGCCAAATATCACAGATATTTAGATTATGTGCGTCTTCTCGATAGGGACTCTATTCCCGAGGACTTTGAAAATCAATCAACAAGAAGTCGGCCTTTAAAAGAGCCAATTTCTGCGGAGTTTGAAGACACCATCACCAATTCTTACTTCTCTCCATTACTGGCGGCGACTCTACGTGAGGTACCGCCGGCGTGTCTGTTCACGGCAGAGTACGATCCCCTGAGAGACGAAGGTTTCCTTTACAAGCGTCGCCTGGAAGACGCTAGCGTTCCTGTGACGCATTTGCATTATATTCCGGCGTGGCACGGGTTTTTCTCTACTCCTCATAGGAATACTGATATATACAAAAGATTGATGAGAGATATTTGTGACTGTTTGTCGAAAGGATTAAAACTTTGACTTTTGTATCATAGTTATGTTGTTTTATCGTTTTTACGGAATTCATGCCTAGGATATTTTGTCTTTGTAATTTGTTTTTAATGTTAACTAATTATTTTAGAGGGAAACATTGATAAAGATCTAGAATAGTGTGTTCATTTAGGATATCAAATGATTTAATGATTAAAGCTAAGTAAGTTCAAAGTAATGAAATGCCCATGCCATACAAACAAATATTTAAAAAAAGAAATTCAACGCATTTCGATTTATAATTATGTTTTATGAATGAGGAATAAAATTAATGTTTCCAATCAATCGTAGGTCTGAAATGTTATTATTCTCTTTACTTTGACAAGTTTATTAATGTGAAAATGTAAATTGATTGAAATTGTGTTAAATATTGCGTTGAATTGTATTTAGAGAATAAAAACAAGTATAAATATTAAAACCTATCCAGAATTTGAGAGATGAATAATACATTCGGACAATTTAAAATTACGATATTTTAAGTGCATGTTACAAAGGCATCCTTTCAGAATGACATGGTCACATTTATGTAAAAACTCGTGTACGCAGGAATATTAGCACGATATGAGATTAACTGACATATCCACCAGAATACGTTTTTCGTGTTTTATTATGGAACATTTTGATGTACAGTTCACTCCGTAAAACTTGGACACTGTGATTGGAAATTTATTCGAGTTACTCGAATATTCTAGTAATTATTAGAAACTGTTCACATTTATTTCCACTAATCCCAAAAGAAAAATCCGTCTCGTTAAATATGTTCGAGTTTACACAATAACCTATGCTATAAAGTACGCAGTAGTGTAATGAGAAGTTTACTGTATTTCTTATATACCTACCCTCTTACAGGGACACAAATTGGTTTTTACTAGATATTCACAGATATGTCTCTAGTTAAACGTCGGGACTTTTCTGCATTGTGACACGTTGTATTTGCAGGTGACAGCTCCGGCGGAAACTTGGTGGCGGCCGTGACGTTAAAGCTCCGAGACCTTGCAGTCACTCCGGCCCTACGACTCCAGCTGCTCATCTACCCTAGTGTCCAAGCGCTGGACTTCTGGACGGCGTCCTCTCAGCAGAACAACAAGTACAACCTCTTCTTGACCAGAACGCGCACGTCTAAGTTTAAGATGGTGTACGCGCTGGGCACTGAAGGAAACGCCAGCGTGCTTCACCTCATCACACAAAACGCACATCTCTCGGACGCTACCTTCTCCAAGTACAAAAAATACCTTGATCCCAATCTTATTGATAAGAGTTTTATCCCCGACCGTTTTGTGCCGCCAACTTTTAAAGGTCCAGCCCAACCACCCATCTCGAAAGACTTTGAAGACATTGTGACTGATCCATATTTCTCCCCCCTCCTCGCCCCTTCTCTTAAGGGAGTTCCCAGCGCGTGCCTCATCACCGCCGAGTACGACATCCTGAGAGATGACGGGTTGCTGTACAAGAGGAGACTGGAGGAGGCTGGGGTGACCGTCACACACCACCACTATCTCCCTGCCTGGCATACCTTCTTTAAGACAACCCATAGGGACACGGAGATCTATAAGACGGCATTTAGAGATATTTGTCAATGTTTGAAAGATGGTTTGGATTTAAAGTAAATTAGATTGAAAGTTGAAGCAAGAAGATGCTGACACGAAACAGCAAAAAAACTGCAACAAAATTTACAAATATAACAGCAAAACTGCCAAAAGGGACAATTTACGAAGACATAGGTAGAGATAAATAGATAAACGATATAAAATGGGCATATTGTCATATGTATAAATTTACAGAGTAAAATTCTGGGCGGATCCCGATTGTTCTGAAGGTTACGGAAAAGTTGTTCTTTTTTTCCATTGTACAGAAAAAATATTAAAATCGTATGATCAGTAATTTCAATTAATTGTACCACCAGCGTTAGCGCTGGCGGTACACATGGTTTCGGTCCCGTCCGGATCGTTCCGCCGGCTCCGCCGGCTCCGCCGGACGGCTACCGTTACCGCTTCTCCTCCTAGGCGGTAAGGCCCCCCGTACCCATCTCTTGGATTTAGGTCACCTATAATCTCAACTCGTTCCACGTAAAATTTGGGCTTTGTCGGTATTGGGGTCTGGGTGTGGCACTCATTGAAATGCACCCTTGTCCAAAAATGGCAAAATTAAATGCTAATTATCTACCCTACGGAAGGGGTTATGGGAAAATTTTCTACAGACGGCTTTCCAAAAGTCATATGTGTAGATTTCAAATAT